AAACGATGAACACGTTTGGTTGGACACACTTGCTGTTATGGCTAGGAGCCGACCTCACTGGCGTTCGTGCTGTGAGTTTCTTTATCCCACCACATCCCTCTTAGCCTCCCTGTCCAACCACGATCTCATTATTTAACGTTATATAATTTTGCATAGTAACTTTTTTTGATGCACAGTAGCCGGTTGGTAGCTTAGCGGAATGATGCCCATCCGTTACCGGTAGCTCAGCCGGCTTGCATCAGTTGCATTTTTTCTCTCCTTTTTTCTGTGTATTGCGGCATAGTAGCTGAGGTGTTCTCCACCTCTAGCTAACGTGTATGATGATGATGATGATGAGAGCTTCACAAACATATTAGCGATTAGGGTCCCGAAAGAACGACGGAGAAATCACAATATCCGGAAACCTTTACTAGCCGCCTTCTTCAAGTTGTCTCCAGAGTGTAGTGTGGAACAGTGGACGACACTTAGATCAACCTGACAAGTCACGTGAGGAAGTTCACTCCCATCGAACACACAACTTGTGGAGGAATGAGATACCCCAATACACAGCACTGAACACTTTGCCCGGCTTATGGACAGCAAGCACAAGACAGGCCATTCCCAGAGTCTATCCAGAGCCCGTTGAAGAGCCACAGGACCTCCAGGGATATCAACAACATTAAGAGCTTTAGATCATCAGCAAATAAGAGCGATGGTACCTCAAGCTTCCTCGGCAAGTCATTCACGTAGACTGAGAAAAGCAGCGGACCTAGGACAGAGCCTTGCGGAACGCCGCTAAGGACAGCTTCTCGAAACAAAAGACTGCTTCCCACACGAATACACTGTTCCCGTTCATCCAGAAAAGCTGACACCCACTGGAGAGCGCGACCAGATATTCCGTAAGATCTCAAGTTCAGTGAGAGTCGCGAATGGGGAACAGTGTCAAAGGCGTTGACGAAGTCAACACCACATCGAGCGCATGTCCACTCTCTACGGCTTAAGCCCAGCTCTTACGAGCTACCAGCAAGTTTGTTTGACAAGAAAATCCTTTGTGAAAACCATGTTGCTCAACGCTAAGCAGGTTAAACCTATTTAAATGGTTCGCCACTGTATCTCTTACTAATTTTTCAAGTAACTTGACGACCACGCTATTCAAGCTGACAGGCCTGTAATTAGCCGGTAGGTCTTTGTCACCGCACCTGAAAATCGGGCAGACAACAGCCTCCTTCCACTCGGCTGTTAAGCCACAGCTGTTGGGTGACTTCTTAAACATAAGTCAGAGGTCCACTGAGTTCCATTGCCAATTCGTGCAACAATTTTGGATAAACAGAATCTGGCCGGGAGCCTTAGTTGGGTTCGCCTCTCTCAGCAACCGGAGAACTTGAGACTCAGTTACAGGAATTTCATACAGACAACAGTCCTCAGAGACTCTTAAAGCTGGTTCTCTGCACGGCGTATTCGTTTCGCGGACAAAGACGCTTGAGTACCGCTCACCAAGCACGCATGCCTTGTCATAGTCGCTATAGGAATGGGTCCCATCTCCTCGAAGCAATGGTGGTATGGGCGAGTTTGCACCCCAGCGCTGTTTAACGTAAGCGGAGAATTTCTTGGGATTTGTCGAGGCAGTGTCAGCTAAGCCCTTTTCATACTGAAGTCGGGTCAATCTAAGATGTAGCTTGCACTCATTTCGAACCAACCGATACTTGTCAAACGTGCTGTTCGACGGAGCTGTTCGGTACGCTCGTCAGCATCCAGACCGCTTCCTTAGCAGGACCTTCCCCGAGGAATCTATCCAAGGAAGATGCGCTCTTGATTCCATTTTTTAACAGTAGGATGTGAGGTGCATAAATTTCGACGACGTGAGCCTTAAGTTTTTCCCAGGCTATGTGAACAGTATCGGTCTCAGGTATCACACAAGGCGATGACCTAGCTTTATCCTCCATCGCTTGGAAGTCCGCGGCCCAAATGTCCGGATACCAACTGGTAGTAGCCTGGCAAGGCCTGATAAGGGTACACTGAAAAACAAACAAACGTGATCGCTAGCGCTAAGAGGCGAGTCGTACGTAACATCATCTACAAAGTCAGGTGACTTAGCAAAAACAAGATCTAAAATGGACGACTGTTGACTTCCTATGTACCTAGTGGGGAGGTTCACGAACTGGTGTAGTGGTACCTGCAGCGTCAAGTCCAGCATCATCATCATCATCAACAGCAGCACATCAGCCATTTGAACTGATGCTTCGCTGCCATACAACCATGAGGACCTATGAAATAAAGAATAAGAAGAGGGAGAGAAAGGGGGACTTACCTGAAAACCTTAATGCCCTAAGCAAACATTCAGGGTCAGGGCGTCTATACCTTGTGTAGACAACATACCGTCACAAACAGCTGGCTATCGTGCAAAGAAAAGGCGGCATCGGCGAAACAGCTTCCTTGCGGCTTTCACTGCCACACGTCATAATCAGCCATTACCCCGCAGATAACTCAGCACCAAACGCACTTTAAACAGGCAATCCGAGTAGGAGACGGCAACAGACGCGCCACTGGTGTCGGTTGCGAGCTATGTCCTGTAAGGTCTAGAGCCAAGCACAAGGCGAGTCACGTGAATCCCAGCCCGGAATGCGAGAAGTACCAACGGCACCCAGTTTGGTCATCAGTCACTTCATTCCCCGCTGCCAAGTCAACTTCTGTCCACCTCGAGCTTTGCACCACCCTACACTTGGCAGACTAAACAAGGCCCTCCTAGGCATACGTAGCACGTGCCCGAGCCACCGCAACTCATTCAGTGCAATCGGTTGTTCTAGGGAGCTGGCATGATTATCATCACCTAGTACTCGCCAACGCACATCATCGTTGCGGACACGCCAGTGCCATCCGACTTCAGCAATGCTTCGCAGACAATGATGATCAAAGACTTGAAGGCGCCTCTGATTTTCACACTGAAGGGGCTGTCTCACTACCATAGAGCAGAACGGTCTTCATTGTGGTCTTGTATACACGGTCTTTCAGACGGACGGAAACTTCCTTCTGTCGCCAAAGATGCCGCAGGTTCAAGAAGGTAGGTCGGGCTTTTGCAATGCGTGAGCTGACGTCAGTTTCTATGCGCCCATCATTGCTGATGCAGCTGCCAAGATAAGTGAATTGATCAACCACCTCGAGTTCCTCGTTAGCAAGCGTCAAGGGGTCATCAAGTGGCTGGTGGTCCTGCAGCAACACTTTGCACTTTGAAGGTGCGAAGTGCATACCAAATAACGGGACCACACAGGACAGGCTATTCAGGGTTGATTGTGCCGCCCCAACATTGTCGAAAAGCAAGACGATATCGTCCGCATAATCTAGATCAACTAACCTTTCACCAGGCAGCATTTCAACGCCTGCATGGTGAGATTCCGCAAGGGAACACTCCATGATAGAATCCAAGACGAAATTGAACAAAAATGGGGAAAACGAACAACCCTGACGAACGCCATTTGTGCTCGGAAAGCTATCAGACAGGCCACCGTAGACCCTGACGTGGCCTGTAGTGTTCGAGTATGGAGCACGAAGGATGTTCACATATTTCGTGGGAACACCTTTCCGCGCAAGTATTTCGAACAGAACCGATCGATCGACTGAATCGAACGCATTCTTGAAATCGAGGAACACAGGTATTGTCGGTCTGCGGTATGCGTGGCGCTGCTTTAGCACCTGCCGCAAAGAGAATACTTGGTCCATACAGCCACGTCCTGGGCGGAAACCGGCCTGCTCTTCTCTAATCCGAGATTCCCGTTCCGCAGTGAGGCGACGAACGATAATCGGGGCCAGTAATTTTGTCACAACTGGCGTTAGGCTAATACCCCTGTGGTTCGCACAGTCTGTGCGACTGCCCTTCTTGTATATTGCCACTATAATCGATTCGCTCCAATTAGCCGGGACGCTTCATTCCAGATACATTCGAATAAGGTCAGTGCTCTGCAGAGGACCTCACCTCCATCCTTAAATAGTGCAGGTGGGAGGGAATCCGGGCCAGCGGCAAGAAAACGATCGAGGGCTGTGATCGCGTTTCGGACCTCGGTCTCTGACGGAGGCACTAAACTAACCGTCCATGGCTCGTCCTGCATCACCTGAGTAGGAAGAGGTCCGGGAGCAGCGGGCCAGCTGAACTGATCTTGAAAGTGTTCCGCCCAACGAGCTATACGGCGTTCCTTATTGTGTATCAGCGCACCCGCGCTGTCTCTAGTCAAGTTCAGCAGTTCTGCACGGAACGATTCCAGCGCCGAACTGCAAGATAGATCATCCCAACAAACCTCTGGGAGGTTGAAGACTCCCAGCACCAGACACTTGTTCGCAGAGTGAGTGCGTATAAACTGCATTGGAGATGCTCATAGGGCTTCTATACACTAACACGACCGTAACCTGAACCGAGGAAGCGCAAATTAAGATTTGTCGAGAGACTGAAAAATGCCGGCGCTCAATACGCCGATGTGATAACTCACATAGAGCTACACCACCCACTTGTCGGCCAATGGATTGGTCAGCGCAGAACAGTGCGTAGCCAGGCAGATATACTTCGCTATCTGTGATTCCCTCAGACAACCACGTTTCAGTGAAAGCAAGTATATCTGGACGAGATTTGTCTACGAGCAGACCCACCTCGCACATTTTGTTCCTCAAGGTTACGCACGTTACTGAGTATTACTTGGAGGACATCGGCACGACCAGCCTTGGGTCGTGCCGAAGTAGAATAGGTTCTGGCAGGGCGGAAAAGGACCGTCGGCTGACCAGCTGAAAACTCACCAATCGGAGACCTTGCTCGCTAGCTGCACGCCGGGCTTTTAGGTCGCTGATGGCTTCCTTTAACTTTAACCTATCCACTAACGGAAGGTCTGGTTGCACACTAAGGTTGGCACCTTCGAGCTTGAAGGCAAATCGCAGTAACGCCCTGCGCTCTTCTGGGGTGGAGAGAACCACCCTAAGCAGACGAGGTTGAGGATTCGGTTGACCAACCGGGACGTTTCCCAACATGATGAGCTTCCTGACAGTAACACCAGGGAAACCTGGTGGTAAAAGCCTGGTCAAGCAAACTTTAAGCCAACCAAGATCATCAAGCATGCGCTCGGTGGGAAGAACGGCAGTGGATTCAGTGACGTTTCTGAAAATCACACTGCTATCTGTGTAAGAGGAGCTAAGGAGGTGTATTTACTCCACATGCTTAACCATCCACGACACATGGTTGTTTGACAGGAAACGGTGCAACCGAGGGCGACGGCACTCATTTTTTACTGAGGGAATTGCAGCATCAGTTGGTGTTTCCAGTTCAAGCGCTTGCCTCTTGAGGGTTTTATCACTTCCCGGTTTGAGGGCGGAGGGTTTGCTCGCTTTCCTTGCCCTCTTACGTTTATTCTTTACTGGCCCAGGAGCCTGTGACTCGCCTTCCATTTGGGGAGGGACAACAATGTTGTCGAAGCGTCTGTGTCAATTATCTTCATGTGAACTGGAGCGTCCGGTAGGATGAACGCCTCATCAATGGATAAACTGTCAGCAGAAGGACACTCCGTTGCAGCGTCCACATTCGCAATATTCAGGGATTTCATAACAGAACCCACTTCAGAGTTGAACGAGGTAAGAGAGACAAGCTCGGCTAACGTCTTCTAAACAACTGTAGTGGAAAGGCCAAACGGAAAGGGCTTAACTACATAAAAGAACTCGGTCTATAAATAAGAATGCTGGACCTGACCTCGGTAGGCCGTCAGTTAGTCGCACAATCCGGTCGGAAGACGAAACTTAGTCGGCACAATAAATCGACGCGTTAGATCCGATGATCGATGGACGAGGTTAGCAGACCGACGACGATCAACAGCACAACACGCGTAGCCGAAAGCAGAAGGCGGATCGAAACCCGAAAGTCTTTTATCGGTTGTTGGTCAGTTAAAACAAAACTGTACAATAATAGTGAGAATGAGAATAGGAAAGTACAATTGGGAAGAGAGATATGTACAAGCGCTACAGAACTCCCCCCTAGAGCGTAAGTCACTGAGACGAAAGCTCGATACTTGTGTCATTTACCGTAGTCTGGAAGGGAGAAGAACTGTACGTCCGAAGCGTGTTCGGTGATGCGATGTTGAGTTTGTGTCATGAGATGCTTGGGGTGCAGAAGAAGGAGCAGAGGTGTCACACATGGGCTGAGTAGGAGGCGTATTTGGGAAGGTGGGCTGGTCGGTGACAGGAATGTCCGTGGGTTTCGGTAGTGGTCACGTCTCGATGTACACCGGCTTCAAGCGGTCAATAGTCACATTATCCTGATAACCATTTCTATCCAACACGAAGTACTTCTCTTTCCGGGCAACAACCTTGAAGGGGCCTTCGTAAGGCGGTGTCAGAGGTTCACGGACGGAATCGACACGCACAAGAACGAAGGGACAAGTTCGCAAATCCGGGTGTACCTGTCAACTCCGAGGACTGATTCGAGGGGGTGTTGGACGAAATGAACTGAAGTGTCGCCTCAGGCCTGTGGCATACGAGGTCTGATCAACTTCTCCAGTAACCCTTGAGTTTAGCACCATTTCTCCAGGAAGTCTGAGTAGTGCCAAAGACCAACTCAGTGGGACAACAGCCAATGTCTTCTTTAATGGTGTTACGAATACCAAGCAAGATAATCGGTAGACGTTCTGACCATTGTGAGTTCAACTGTGAAGAAGTAATTGCGGCTTTAAGTTGGCGATGGAAACGTTCAACGACACCATTAGCAGCTGGGTGATAGGTGGTTGTCCGTAGGTGGGAACAACCGAGCAAGCGGTTCATTTCACGAAACAAGGCCGAATTGAATTGGGACTTTCTGTCGGTAGTAATAGTGGCTGGCATGCCAAAGACGGAAATCCAATTCTCAATGAGTGTTCGCGCTACACTTTCTGTAGAAGCATCACGTAAAGGCACGGCAAGTGGCCAACGCGTATAACGATCAACAAATGTCAAGGATAGATAAAACCGTTGGATGCAGGCAAAGGTCGAACAGTGTCAAGATGAACATGTTTGAAACGAGCGTCGGGAAGAGCAAACGTGCCGGAGACGGTAATCGTGTGACGGTGGATCTCGCTGGTTTGTCAAGTGATACAGTGTTTGGCGCATTGCTAGATCTCGGAGCGCATGTTGTGCCAAATGAAGCGATCAGTAATTAGCTTGACGGTGGCTCGGATGCTCGGGTGTGAGATTCCATGCAGGTGATCAAAGACGATTCGGCGGTACTGCGGTGGGACAAAAGGCCGGGGCTTGCCAGTAGAAATATCACAGTAAATTTTGGAGTCTGATTGAAGGATTGGCAACTGTGATATTTTGATCGATGAATTTGATCTCAGTTGCACGAACTCAGGATCTCCTTCCTAGTGAGCTGCTATGTCTTCTAAGTTAATCTGCCGTGAAACTTAGTGAGAACATATACGCGACATGGTATTAGCGACAACGTTAGTGGCAGCACCAACATGGCGAATGTCGGTAGAAAAGTGTGAAATATAATCCAAATGACGAATTTCTATGGAGGAGAAATGGTCGGATGAATCACGGAAAGCAAAGGCAAGTGGTTTACGGTCTATAAGAATGGTAAATGTGCGACCTTCAAGCAGGTGCAGAAAATAGTTGATAGCGAGGTAGATAGCTAAAAGTTCTCGACCAAAGGTGCTGTATCGCGTCTGTGCTGGTTGAAGTTTGCGAGAGAAAAAGGATAGCAGCACAGGTTGACCGTTGATTACCTGCTGGAGAACAGCCCCAACGGCGGTCCGAGATGCATCAGTCTTGAGGATGAGAGTGGCGTCAACATCAGTCTTCAAATGACTGAGCGCGGTAGCGTTGGACAACGCGTGCTTGATCTTGTCGAATGCATCGATAGCTCGAATTTTCGTGACCTACTTTCAAGTAAATCGGACAATGGCTAGAGTGGCCCAGAGTAATCTGGTACGAAAAGGCTGAAGTAATTCACCATGCGGAGAAAACGACGGATGCTTTTGAAAGATTGAGGCATGGGGTAATCCATAATCGCATGTGCTTTCTCGGACCCCTTAAAGCAGCGGACCTGAAAAAGGCTAGTTACGTTCGACCACCGGTGCCTTCGCAATTTAGCTCACATCTGGTGGGAACACCGCGTGAGCAACGAGCGTGTTCGACGCCTTGTTTACGGCACAGGAAAAGGAAATGAACCGCTCAACATCGTCATTTCACGCACCAGGCTCCGATGGCTCCGCCACGTGTTACGCATGACAGCCCACCGACTCCCGCGACGTGTGTTGTTTGCGCACCGGGGTGTGGATGGAAGAAGAGGAGGGGTGGCCAAGCGATGACTTGGTCGAAAGGGATGAAGGCCCTCACTTCGGAGCTGGCCTCGGTTGGAACGTCTCGGCTCCGTGGTTGG